ACATTTTCAACCAATTCTGATAGATTACACTATTTATTGTCATCGAATGATCACGACAATATTATTCTAAACAAGAATCAATCTAATATGAGTACATGCATGAGAAATGTTATGAGATTTAGTGAACGTCTCTTAGTAACAGTGCAGCCTACAATTGCTGAATATCTTCAGAAAACTTCTTATCAAAGTTTAAATGATTTTGCTGCCATATATTGGGCTGCCATTAGGAGCAAGGGTATTATGAATGGAAAATGGAAAAAAAGAAAACAAGATTCTTATGATGGTTGGTACGATTGTCGATATGAATCAAGATATATACCAATTGATTGCATCAGAGGAACTTTTTTAGTCGATGTTATGGTCATAGGGTTCTTACCTGAAAACATAACAACTAATGAATTATTTCTACGCGTATTTGGTAATCACATTTTTGAAGTTCAGTTGGGTAAATCACCTAAAACTTATATTACTAAACATTCGTATCATGGCAATGGAAAAGTTCAATATGAATTTTGTTTCAATGATAAAATCAAGTGTTTGAATGTTACTGAACGACATATACAGATAGATGAGACGTTTCAATTAATTACTCATACTTGTTTTCAGAAAGAATTACCTGACATGTTTGTCTCCAAACATAGTTATTGGATGAACCTACAAACTCAAATAGTCGAATTTCGACCTATTTATTTTAAATAACCTGACTTTTTAGATAACAGACCAAATATTTTATCATTGAAAACAGGATATGTTATTACTACCATGGAGAATAATGCACAAATTTTGATTAATCAATCATCAACATTTTTTCAAAACTTATTTAATCGATACTTTAGTTGTCTCGATGATAAACTCTATGTTTACATGATGCGCGGCAATATCTCTCAAACTGATATTATTATTCACAGCCATTTATCTCGTTTAGGCATTGCTTTCGAATACAATGCTTCAACCAATATCATAAAGTCTCGTGAATATTCAGATATGTGTATCGATAAAGATCAATGGTTAGGAACTTTAACAGGTCTAACATTTGGGCTTCTCTTATCACCATTACCAACTAATAATTACAGATTGGATCATTATCCATATTAAAAATTGATTGTACCTTTTGGTACTCTTCAAAGTAAAATAAATTACTACACGAATCATCAAACGGTTACCATAGACCGATCCTCATCAATATTTTGTTTTTATTCTTAATGATCGATTAAAAATACTTCAATCAACGGATAGTCCTACTGAATGGCTTTATTTAGCATTGTTACATGCAATGACTTCTCATCATTTACCAGCTCAATATACTGGAATGACTGGAATGGAACGAGCATTTTAATTATTGAACTCAGCTGGTTGTTGGTCCGACCAGCCCCTTTGGATGAAATTTCGTTAAATATTCTTTGTCAAATTGCGTCTATTTCTCCCAAAGGTTGATTATTACCCACAAAAAATGACTATTATGGAAAAAATAGATTGGAATTCAAATGGCTTACCCTATTCGATGCAACATTTCGGTTATTATTTAATAGCAAAAAAGCTAATCGACACTAGTCAAATATTCAATTTTATGTATCCATTGTTGATATCATATAAGATTCCAGAAATATTTCAAGAAAAAATATACAATGAAATATTATTGAAAAAATTATATTGGGACTATCGAGATTCATATAATCCTACAGCGAGATTATCTGTAGAGATGGAAGCTGACATCCTGGGTACTAAATCAGTGACGCTATTTTATTCGACTTCGAAGCATTGTTCATATGTCACTAATTCCAGTTCTATTCATCGTGTGGACGGTCTATATAATGATGGAGATGTAGCTCTTAGAGATTGTTCAAGGCAGCATTGATTACCCTTGCATCAATAGTTGACTCACGAAAATAATTTGAAAAATATTTGGATTGGCTTATTAAAATTAGCTGACCGTATTAAAAAAGTAACGACTGATAACAATACGGACGATGTTAAACGATTGGAAGGCTTGTTAGACTTCCTTCATTATATTTCCGGTAAATGTAAGATCAATCCATTTTATTTGCAAATGTTAAAGACAATTTTGAAAGTTTCTACCATATCGCTAAGATCCGTTGAATTTCCTCCTTTTATTCGTCATTATAATATCGAACGAATTTGGGTTGTAAATGAGCATATCTATTTTTCAAGTGATCTTACTTCACGCCAACAAAGCAAAATTTTAGCAAGAGTTCGAGACTGTTTTGAATACGGTGATAGGTTTGAAGATTATGACGGACTGATAACTGGTGATAAAATAAGTGAAATCAATGGGTCATTGAAATCGTGACGATCTAACAGAAAACTTCGATCGTTTTTAGCAGTCGTTCAAGGTCTCATTTGTTCCGTCTTGATACAACAATTTGATATCAAAGCACCATATTATTCTCAACTTTTTTCACGTGAATCACCCAAAGATCACTGTCAAATACAAATCAAATATACAGAGAAATCAATAGATCCAATACTTTTATGAAATGCTGAACAAAAATTTCATGATATCAATTCAGGTCATTTTAAGTAAGCAGCTAAATTTACTCAAAGAACTGATCGACAAAATGCATTTCCACAAGAAATTTTTCCTTCTGTCACTAAACAAGACTGCTCTTAGGGAAATTACTGATTATTTTAAAAATCAATTATCTCAAAGTTGGAACAAATTTCTTTCGGACAGTCAATATGAAAAAGGATATCCTTCAATTAAAAAATCATTCAACTTCTAGATTCTCTTCGAAAAGAATCTACCAACTTCTGGAATGAATTATCCAATGGACAATTATTTGAAACAGGTCTAATTTTAAGAATCACACCAACTACTTCGAGAAAAAAATTCATGTGTTGAAAAATCTTTATCATTTCTATTAACTAACGATCAATGTACAATACTCGGTGGTATTATCGTTAATTGGACATTAGAACGACAACTCGAAAAAATTCTCCATTTTGCAATTCATGAAAAATGGGAAGACTTTAACAAAGAAATATCACATAATACCACATTCAAATTGAAAACCAACTGAACATATTTCTTGGCTTATTTTGGGATTAGAAATGAATGTAACTATGCAAGAAATTCAAATCAAAGTAGCACAACATATGATACAACCAAATATGGAAATCGAACATTCAGCAGTACGAAATATAGTGATGCAAATGCATATGGGCGACGAGAAAACGTCAGTTATTTTACCATTGTTAGCTGTTAATTTATCTTCATCTAATTCGAGTTTAGTTCGTATTATAGTACTTAAATCATTATTTCCAACAAATTATCAATCATTACGATGTAAATTAGGTGGTTTACTTAATCGACGTATTTTTCGATTTGCATGCCGTCGTGATATGAATTTCAATACTGTATAAATAAATCAAATTTTTAAACGTGTCCAGCAAGGATTATTAAATTGTGATATTATATTGACTTCACCAGAAGATATTCTCTCATTTGATTTACTCGCTATTGATAAATGTCGAAGAAATGAATTTGATATTGTTCGTTCTATGTTAACAGTTCAACGATGGTTAAAAAAAATATGTTCATGATGTATTAGATGAAATTTTACATGTTAAATATCAATTGATTTATACTGTTGGTGGTCAACAACAAGTTGATGAAGGTGCAGAACGTTGGAAAACTATTCAAACAATTCTTGAATTCGTCAAAAAAACATGCTGCCGATATTTCAAAATGTTTCTATGCAAATGTTTATTACAAACCATCTGAACGAAAAAGTACATTTCCACAATTCTGTTTACAAACATTTGAACCATTTCCATTACTTTGTCAAAAAATTGCAAATGATTAGATCGATAGTAGAAATTATCGTTATACAGATAAGCCAATTATATTATCATTTATTTTAGAAACACATTCTTCTGTTGAATATCTCGTTCATAAATTTCCACGTCTTGATCTTCAATTATTTCTCATTATTCGTGGTTTATTATCATCCGAAGTCTTATTAGTTGCTTTTAAAAACCGATATCGAGTTAATTATGGTGTCAACTCAAGTTCTTCTTTTAATCGTTTAATGACTGTACCATTTCCTGCAAAAGATGTTGTAGCTGATAGAACCGAATTCGGTCATCCAGATGTTGCCTTAGTATTAACAAAAATTTCATATTACTATTTAGGTTTAAATGAAGAAGAAACTGATCCTGCATCGATTTATGATCAATGGATTTTATATGAAGATGAAAAATATATACCAAAAAGTATCAAACAATGGAATGAAGTTAATTTAAAAGATTATCAACAATAAATTGATTATCTCTTTCCAACTTGTCGACATAATATGTTAGTTATTAATTATTTTCTTGATTATTTTATATTTCCTCGTGAAGCAAAACAATTTCCACATAAATTAGTTGCCTCTGTTTGGGATTTATCTTCATCTTTACGATCAGATATAATCACTGATTTTAGTGGAATGAATGATACACAATTATTACTTCCTATTCATATTCGACAGTATGATTTACCAGAATTTCAAAAAACAGATACAATTGTTCTGAATAATTTATTAAAAAGTGAAAATGAAAATTATCAAATTTTACCCATTAATGTAACATCAGAAAATATTTTAAAACAAATTGTAGATTACCAAGAAACCGTCAACGTTATTTTAGATGCTGGAGCATTATTCATCGATGGAACCAATCGAGATATTGCCATTAAATGGTTGAAACTATTGGATAAAAATACAATCGATTATGTTGTTTATTTTGATTCAGATTCAATT